ATGAAAACTGCTGCGTAAGTGCAAAATTATTATTAGTTCCCAGCCTCCTGTCCCTTGGCTTCTGACATGGCTTTTGTTGTTCCTGAATGGGAGCCACTTATGGGCTGTCCAGCTGGCTCTTTCCAGTATCTGGGCAAGTACATACACATTTGCAGATTTCCTTCCCTTTGAAAAAAGCATTCCAGCTCTGTGGGATGTCTTGAAGCTTTTCAATATCTGAATTTCTCTCCACTTGTCTCAGTCCTGTAATCTACAAGAGTAGACTGTAAACAGACTACTTTGGAAAAGAGTGAGGGGGAAAATGGTCAATTTGAAGAAATGGCCCTTCTTACAATGAAGAATAAAACAATATCTCCTTCTCACGCAGCGTCTAAATGAACCACTAAGTGAGGGCTGTCTCCCTTGCCCAGAGGGATGCTGTCCGTGTTTCTGCATCAAAAGGGGAAAAGAATAGATTTGCTTTCCACGCCCAAGTTTCGCCACCTTCCTTCGCCCTAACTTCTCGGGAGCCATGGAAACAAATACTCCCCGCCTAGATGATGTTCCCCTGATAGCTCTTTCTTACCTCGCTCTGCACTTGCCTGGGATCCCACGGGGAGAGTGAAACAGACGTGGAAAGGAAAGACGATACATCTGCGAGTGAAATGGCTTGTCTCTGAAGCAGAGGAGGGGCTCGTGAGTAATTTCTCAATCTCTGAGGCAACGAACAGTGTTACGTGGCACCATTTTCCTCTTCTCTAACGTGTATTCACACCCAGCGCACTTTACCCACGCACAACCCAGTAGGCTCCCTCCAAGGTATCTTTTGGTTTATCTTAATGCTTTGTTAGCAGGCCTGTTAGTCAGCTAACTGCTGAAAGATTTTACTTTTTAAAATTACTAAGGAGCAATTATGTAACATGTAATCCCTTGAACAAAAGTATAAAGGCCCAGAACCAGTGAAAGAAGCAAACGTTAGCTACGTGACTGTAAACACAGAAAAGGAAACCCAGAGAGCTAGAATGATGCCCTCCACGCTCCCTGTCACCTAATCATTGATCAAGTATCATATCAAAGTATAGAAAGGGAAATCAGGATTTTCTGCTGGGACGGGAAAGTTGAGGGAGCAGTGGGAACAGAGTTGCATAAAACCAGCTCTCACCATGTACCATCTATGACTGCAGCTCCCACCAGGTACCATCTATGACTGCAGCTCCCACCAGGTACCATCTATGACTGCAGCTCCCACCAGGTACCATCTATGACTGCAGCTCTCACCATGAACCATCTATGACTGCAGCTCCCACCAGGTACCATCTATGACCACAGCTCCCACCATGAACCATCTATGACTGCAGCTCTCACCAGGTACCATCTATGACCACAGCTCCCACCAGGTACCATCTATGACTGCAGCTCTCACCATGTACCATCTATGACTGCAGCTCTCACCATGTATTGTCTATGACCAGCTCTCACCATGCACTGTACCTCACTGCATCTCACTGCAGCAGCACCGGAGCCATATGTTATCACCTTGGCTGTGACACATGGAACTTCTTCTGCAATCTAAGATGACTAAGTTCTGCCTGTTATGTAGAGGTCAAGATAGAAGGAATCATTTTTCTTCCCATTCTGTTATTTTTATAAAAGGGAAAGAAACATAACTAGAGAATAAAAAATAAGCACAGCAGCTAGGCGCATAAGAAAACCCAGGGCTAAAAACTGAAAAGACAACGTGTAGGGGCCAGCTTGTTTCCAGTCTCCTCTCTCCCATTGATACTGTGCTTCTTTGGGCTTCCGTTGGCTTCTAAGGTGGTCTTCCAGCTTCCCATTCCTACAGCTCTTCCATTTCACCTTTCACTTCGTTTTTCTGGGTATTGTTCTAGAAATGAATCTAATTATGTGGCTTTCCAACCCAGAACCCTTCAACACTGCCCCACTATGCAAGTTCTTTATCGCTTGTGTCTTTTATTATTGCCTCCTCCCTACTTGGCCTGGACTGTGGGTGCCCAAGCCTATAAAATTCTCATATAATCCTCTGTTCATGTGCTCTCTACCTTTTTCCCTTAAGAGATTGTGCTCCTGCCATTCCCACCACCCTTTCCCATGACTACCATTCAGAATCCTACTTATCTTTCAAGTCCAACTTCAAATGGATCCAGTTCTTTCAAGCCTTTTAAGGTTCTCCCACATGAATTTGGACCCTCCCACAGTCATTTTTCTGTGTTCATACCATTCTTTGTGTACTTCCCTACCGTTTAGTAAAACAAGTAGCTGTACATACAGCTCTGAGCTCATTTATCCTTCCACTAGATTGTAAGCTCCCTGAAAGGAATGATTATGTCTTGTTTTTCTTAAGTACTACACTACGGAAAGTGCCTACAACAGTATTTTATCCAGAATGTATGCTCAGCAAATATATTTATGTTTCGTTTCACACATTCAACACACACACACACACACACTACAGAAAGGCACATGGTAGATTTTAATTTCTTACGCAACTCAAAAGTGCAAATTAGAGAATGAACATATCTAGTCTTGAGAAGACAATAAATAGCAATAATAGACTCTGACCATAGAACCAATTTACTGTATCTTACCAACCAATTAGATAAAACTTGGCTCTGCAAACAAACGGTTGCAAAACTGTGAGGGATAATTGTTGAATTAAGCAAATAGCTTCTTTCCTAAGATTTTAAGGCCTTTGGCGATTTTTACATGGGAAAGATGGAGTATTGAACAATTAGCCAGTTAATGCGGCCAAATAAAGTTGCCGCCGAGGAAAGAGCTAGGGAATCAGACAGAATGATTCTGAGATTCCCAACTCTGACTGTGCCTTGGGGTCAAGCACATGAGCTTCATATGCTTGCTCCGTGTCCACAGGCTGCTGTCACATCTCTTCCTCTGCAAACCCAGCAAATAAGGGCTCTGTGGGTCCTGTGAGTGCAGCTCAGTATTTCCTGTGATGAACCCAGTTCAGAACTGTCATGAAAACAAAAGCCACAGGCCTTCTTTTGGAAGAATGTGGAGTTGACATTCATGTATTTGTGTCTTGCAACATCACAAGGTTAAATTATTACAACTGTAGTTCTAATTCCATAGACAAAGGCATGTCCTGAGAACAAAGGTTTCCCTGGCAGTGGAGACAAAATATTAAATATGGTCCATGATCCATGATCATCTGCCTTTCTTTTTGTTTTGTTTTGGTTTGGTTTTTCTGTTTTGTTTTTTAAAATATATCTTTATTGATTTTCAGAGAGAGGAAAGGAGGAGGAGAGAGAGATAGAAACATCAAAGATGAGAGAGTCATTGATTGAGCCCACAACCCGGGCATGTGCCCTGACCGGGAATCGAACCCTGATCGCCTGGATCCTAGGTCGATGCTCAACTGCTGAGCCACACCCGGCCCGGCCATCTGCCTTTCTACGAAACACCTTGATAGGCCTTAATCAAGGCAGTGGAAAACATTCTCTCTCCTTGATAAATCCTTCCCTCCTCACCTCTCTCTCTCTCTCTCTCTCTCTCTCACACACACACACACACACGATTTTTGTATACCAAATATTAGATATGAAATGTTGAGTCTACCCAGTCTCCAATTTCCATCAAGTTTCCAGCTTAAGTCAGTTGGAACTGATGAAGGGCTGCCCCTCCCTAGTGTTTGAGGTACTGTAATTCTAATTGCTGTGAAGCATTTAGTTTTATTGTGGATTAACCCTTTGAAGGCAACATGACTCCCTCAGCAAAGCTCCCCAGCACTTTTGGTAAATAAACTCCACTGAAAGGGAAACTGCAACTTTCACAGACATTTTATGAGCATTCATCTTTACAAAGAGCCATTTTCCAAAATGGATTCATCTAAGATTCTTTTATAACTATTACAACCACTGCATAGTTGTTCTTACTATTTAGGAGATAATGGACCTATTTGAGAATCTTGAATCTTGAATGAAACCAGTACAGAGCCCTTGACTTTACACACCTTTCTANGGGAGATAATGGACCTATTTGAGAATCTTGAATGAAACCAGTACAGAGCCCTTGACTTTACACACCTTTCTAAAGTAGAAACCCTCCTGCTCTCCATCCCCCCTACCTGTGGTCATGCCTGTGGTCAAGCTGATCATGTACTACCTGGTGGCAATGCAATGCTAAGATGGGTTCAGGGACACCTTTGGGAAGGAGGGGGCACTGTTTAACAGAGGCCTGCCTGTCAGAGGAAGGACTCAGCCAATCTTTCATGTCCAGAATTTCACCTACAGTTCGGGTTCTCAGACTGGTTTACAGACCTCCTAGCACTCATCCCAAAGTCTTAGAAGTAGTTTAAACAAAAAAGAAAAACACTTGGCCCCGGCCGGTGTGGCTCAGTTGGCTGAGAGTCATTCCATGTACCAAAAGGTTGCAGGTTTGACTCCCTGTCAGGGCACATGCCCAGGTTGCAGGCTTGATCCCTGGTAGGGGGTGTGCAAGACGCAGCCGGTAGATGTTATGTTCTCACATCGATGTTTCTGTCTCCTTTTCCTTTCTTCTCTCTCTAAAACTCAATAAAAAATCTTAAAAAAGAAAAAAGAAAAAGAAAAACAGTCCCCATTCACATGGATACATTTAATAACATGAAAGTTGTGACAAAGAGGCAAAAACCTTAAATAACTTGGCACCCCTTTTACTCTGGACTATTGTGGGCAATGCACACACTACTAAAGGGGTAAAATCTCTTTGGAAAACAAGTAGGAAAAGGGCCAAATTTGATAAAAGAAACACAACAATTGCTGAAATATTGTAACATTTGTGAATTCCCTTCTCCCCACGTCTCAGTGGCTCCTGGAGGACTTCTGGCTGATGCTTCAGGAACAGACCCCTGAACCAGCCTCAGTTCCCCAAAGGAGCTTGTACAGAAGATTACAGGAAAGTCTCCTTTGTAGATTTTTTTTTGTTTGAAGAATGCAAAACATAAAAAGTGAAAGTCATCCTCCCCTGCCCAGAACACATTGAAATATAAGGATAATGACTCAGTGGGGCTTCAAAATTATATAGTGCTTTATACTTTTTAGAGCATTTTCACATACATTATTTCAATCAACTCATACAGCAATATTTGGCTTACAACTTAGACAGTAGAAACCACAGGATCTTGCCCAAGATCATACAGGTAGTGGGACAACTGGGGCTGGAACCCAGACTAGATGATTGGTCCAGCATTTCCACCGGGTCACTAAACAGGTCTCTGGCCCATTGTCACCCCCTCTGACGTCTTCTTGCTCCCCACAGCTCAGGCTGCTTGTCAGTTAGCAATGATATCTCACTGTAGATATAGATTGCAAAAGGAGAGAAAACACAAGTCCTTCTTTGACAAGCATATATAGAGATACAAAAATAAAGGTGGCATTCTTCTTGATTGCTTCTTTATAGATGTCTTTCCAAGATAAAAGGCCCTGTTGGGGACTAGCTCATTGACCTGATATTTCTATGTACACATAATACCCCTTAGTAGTAGCAGGGCCTTCACACCAGGAAATTATTTGCTAAATATTCCCCACTGTCTCACAATGTGGCCTATCCATTTCTCCCAGATATAAAACATCTGGGCCAGCACAAAAAAACACAGCAAATTCAAAGAGATGTTTCCCAGATGTGCAGCTGTCCTCAAGAGTCTGTCACAGGGCCAGCTCTGGAGAGTCATATTTCCCAAGACCCTTTTCCAACTGCCTCTCATCGTAGCTTTTATGTGACTGAAGAAATTTCGAGGAGGTTGACCAGATAGCTGAATAGAGCACTGAGACGGTAGCTATGAAGTAGTAGCACTAGAGTGCACCCTTCAGGCGGCCCAAGCTATGAGGTCATGAGATGGTTTTCAAAATCCTGTTCACGGGAAGTGCGGCAGGACCCCCTTTCGGAGGGTTCAGTCAGGTGAAGGACTTCCCAGGAAGGCTGCCACCTTTGGTGTGGGGTGCATTCTTCTTTGTCCTGTGTGACACCTGGGCACACCACGGAGCCTTTGGCTTTAGGAGAAACGACCTGCAGAAATGCTGCTCATACCAGTTCTGTCTTAGGAACAGTCACCAGCTCCACAGGCTTGTTTCGGAAGGTAACTGGGAGAAAAGCTTGTTCCATGCCAGGCTTAGAAAACTCTGGAAAAATACTCTGTTGTTTGGCAAACTTCTGAAAAATAAAATAAAAGAGATAAGTGAGAAGTGAACAATGGTAGAAATGTATCAGTTGTCACCTCAATTTAAAGTCCATTCACTAAGGGCTGCTTGGAGAGCCCATTGTAGAAGCCCTCGTTTTACCAGCTCCTCCCTCACTCACCCTACACTGGGCTTGCACTATTTCACTACTGTCTCTAAACTCTGACCAGGAGATGCACTGGTTACAGACTGGGGTCATTTCAGGCCCCTACTGTTATCTGCACGGAAAAATCAGTGCCCATAGAAACAAGCATTTGCAACAAGAAACTAAAGTCACCCACTTTTTAAACTTACTGCCCAGTAATTTTAATGATCTTATGTGCCAATAACTTTAAGGACTAAATTACAAGCTCCTCGAGAACAAGAACTATGTGTCACACCTCTATATCTCCTACAGTGCCGAGCTTAGTGCCTTATACACAGTAGGTGCTCACTGGAGTCTTTTAGCTGATTAATGTCTAAAATAACACCCAGAGAGATGAGTACATGGCCAGAGAGGCAAGTAAGTGGATAAAGGGACTCAATCAGTGACAAAAAAGAGCCTTGGCGTAGCTCCTGGGTGAGATCTGTCCTGTCCCTAAATAGCCAACACTTCTTGATGGTATCGAGACATACGGGAAAGATCACTTCCTTGTGGGTCAGGCCGAGAGCTGGCCGCTCCCCAACCTCGGTCAACCCAGGGGAGCAGCTATGCAGAAGGAGGCTCAGAGTCTTCAAGCTGGAGCTTACTGCCAATAGCTCAAAGGCATGTCAAGGATGCCTAAGCACTAGCCGGCCACCTTCTGCCACAGAACACTCTCTGTGCACCCCACTGCTCCTGCTTCTCAGGGTTAATTCTCAAAAAGTGAGTGGAAGTAACAAAATACAAGGAAAGAAGCCCTAAGAGAAAATAGTTCAAGGGCGGGTGAAGGACATGGATCTTTTCCTGAGTGGCTGTGCTGCTCACTTGCCTACAAGAAGAACACTGTCTCTGTCCCAGCTGGGGAATGGTCGGTGTGGTACTTCCTACCACTGTAACTACAAGGCCTTCTGGCACTTTAGTAGGATCCTTTGGCATTTCTCAAATATCCTTCACATATCCTTCCTCATGTCTCGTCTCAGGGCTCTGTGCAGAGCCACAGGACAAAAAACAAGCTGGGAGCTTGCTGTAAAGATTCTCAGTAAGTCCATCTCTCTCTGTTATTAAATGACTCACTCACACTATCTGCAAACCATTCGGACTGGTGCCCAGCTGATCTTTTAATAAGAGATGTCTTAAGAAGATACTTACACAAGTGAAAATGATGAGTGCTAAGTAGAAAACCACCAAAGCCAACAGCAGTACAATCTCAGCTCTGTATTTCTTAAAAGTCACTTCTTTGTGGTCCTTATGGCATCCTTAAAAAACACGTAAGTGAAATATGAAGCCGTTTAACAGGACTTTTTCTACTATAATAAAAAGCTAAGATGCTTTGTTCCTGCTTTTTAAGCATTGTATCCCATCCCTGTCCTCACAGTAACGACAACCAGGGACGGTGGCGGCAGCCAGCGCTCACCCTCACTCCGTACCCAGCGGTGTGCAACGGGACTGACACACAGCATCTCACTGAGTCATCTGAGACCAGTCTGACTATCCCATTTTACAGATAAAGGAGTCGAGGCTCAGAGAGGCTGAGGGACTAAGGCAGGTGACAGAGTCAAGAGTCTGGTCCAGACTTATCTTGCTGCCCATCTGCCTCCATTTCAAATATCCAGGGTTCCTGGCTTTTAATTCACCTTTATACCAGCGGAACCCCCATTTGTTGACCCGAACATACTCTATCTTCATCGTGTTGTGTAGGACGCTAGTGTCCTGGCATCAGGAGGATTGCGGGACTACGAAATGAGGTAGCAAACTCCCCAGCTATTGTTGAATAAGTAGATACACTCTTGGAAAGTTGTTAAAGCTCTTCCACCAAGGCTGACAGCAAGGGTGGCCCACAGAACAGCTCCCCAAGGGGTCCTTAAAGGCTGCGGCTGCAGCACTCTGGGAGCGCGAGTAAGGCGTTCAGCCCAGGAGGGGACATGGCGGAGACAGTCTCTCCCCTCAGCATGGCATCCAATGTGCTCTTTGTTTGGAAAGCAAGGTTGCTAACTGAGTCTGCCTGAAGGCCAGGCAGAAGTAGGTGGAGTGGGGGCTCTTCCCAGGGACCACAGATGGGCTGCAAGAAAACTGTCGAGCCCTGAAACTGGATTTAAAAGTTAGCGCAGTAGTCGAGGGATGAACTCTCACAGGAATCTGTGACTCAAGGTAGACGGCCATTGTCCTAATGCTTCCTAATATTTATTGGGCACTCGGTCTACCTCAGGCACTGTACTAGGCATTTTAGTGCAATGTCTCATTTAACCTTTACAACAAGCCTATGTTGTAGAAATTATTACCCCCATTTTAGAGACGAGAGAACTAAAGCCTAGAGTTGATTAGAGATTTGTCCAAGACCACATGCTAACAAACAGTATAACTAATATCTGAACCAGGTCTAAGTGACTCTAGAGTCTGACCATGTAACTTCTGGGCAACTTTCAGGCTTTTCAAGAGGAAAGAAAAGAAAATCAGCTTTTTCTTTCATTTCATCTCTGCTCTTCCCTGCCAGGTTGCTCTCACTTCTAATTCAAGTGAATAATATTCATTGAGAGCCTACTATGTGCCAGAAAAGCAGAAAATAAAGCAGAGGCTGTGGCGTGTCAGGTGTAGTAAGTTCTACAAAGATGAACAAAGCAGGGTAAAGGGCTAGAGACTGAGAAGGATTATAAGGTAGGGGCATGTGTGTGTGTGTGTGTGTGTGTGTGTGTGTATGTGTCACAGTGAACCAAGTCTAAACACTGACCAATAAACAGTGATTGTGTTCTTGGGATTATCAGAATATTTTCTTGAGTCAAATACATGACAGGAAAAAGTAGTTATTGTAAAAAATCAGGGACTCTGACAACAACGTATTTGTCATTTCAAGCCTGAGCCACTAACAAGAATTAGGGAAAAGTCAAATGGAAGATATATTTTAAGCTACATAAAAAAAGTTAACAAAAAATCCAAGGATATAATCCTTGTCTTGACACTCAATTCTTGGAGCAAAAATGTGTACCTGTCACAGGAACGTTACTGCCTTGCTGGACTCTTTTCCTTTGGCCTGGGTTGAGTTATTGGGAATGTCAACCTCCCTAATGTGAGGGAAGTGCCCGTCTCATGTTAAAAAGGTGGAACAGGAAGAAACTACCTTAGGCCAGGTTACAAGACCCCAAATGAGCAGAAAATTATAGTTATCTGGTGTTCAGGGACCACACAATTTCTCTGTCTCCCAAAAATTAGACTTAGACACTTCCTCTTTGCTACGAAGGCCTCTTTCAGGACTAAACAACAGCCAGACTGGTCGTTGGACTGCAGTTGGCACCTCCCCCAGGCAGGCTGGGTGCATCTGTCCTTATTTACAGAGAAAAGAACAAGTTACAGCATTCTTGCAGGATTTAGCTTTCTGGGACAGATGTGATCCCGAGCTTCTGACTCACGCTCCAGGGGAGACGGTCAACTTTAGGACCTACAGAAAGCGCGTGGGCATTTTGCAAGAAGAAAGCAAGTGCAGCAGAGCCCTCACCTGTCACTCTCAGGATCACTATGCCACTTTGGTTTCTCTGCCCTCCAGGCCCCTCCAGGGTGCATTTGTATGTGCCCGAGCTGCAGCTGGTAGTGTTTCGGATCTTCAGGGAATACAGCCCTTCACTGGGGGGCTCTAGAGGGGCCTTCTGCTCCATCTGGTGATAGTTCTGCAGAGCTTCCTGGAGCACTTCTATCTTCTCCTCACCGTTCTCTGTAAGCTGTTAAAAAAAGAATCCTATTGAAGCATGCTCTACTCACAGACTTGCAAGCACTGAGCCTCTGCACCAGGGTGCTACCTCTCGTTTTCATGAAATCCATGCCCTCACATTTTTTTAAAACAAGATACTGTGTGGGTGTGTGACCTTCGGGGGAAGAGGAGAGAATCTATGACAATTCTTTAAAGCTCTGTTTCTTTTGGAATTAGATCAGAACTGCATTTTATGATCCTTCCTATCCCATCTACCCTACTGAAAGAGTGTTGCTGTTGATGCTAATGATGTGTTGACGAAGATGATCTGATGAAGTGGGTAAATCACTCTGAATCAAATTTTGTTGCTGGTTGTTTTCTATTAAATGTCCTCCTGTGCTCTTCAGACACCAACTCACCCACTGACTGATTCTTATTTTTCTATCCCAGACTTTTATTTGGAAATGTTCCTAAATCTGTTAAGATCACTGCCAGACAACTAACTCAACAAAAAGCACAGAGATGCAGATGAGTAATGCCTCCCATAAACGGCCACCTTGCTTTCCAAAGGCTGCGAATCTGTGTGGTCATCTGTGACATCACAGGAGGTACCACATTTGCTCTCTACTGAAGTAGGAAGACAGGTGACAGGAGTGCCATACGGAGATTCCGTGTCAGATCACTTGGTCATATCAAGACACACATGAAAGGATAGCGACAGCTTAAATCACTGGACAAGCCAGCCTGATAGGGCGGAGATGCCAAATTTCGCCAAACTAATCTGGCTGATTTTCTTTCCCTGAACTATCTTTGTGATTAATTGCTGGGATCTCTTTATCATCTCCTACTTCGGAGATTAGGCACGTGCCACATTCACCATCAATTCTCTTTCCCCCCAGATATACCTTTCATTTGTCTAATTAACTTGCCCGTCCATCCTCCAGTGAAATGTTTTAAAGCTTCTAAAATAGACTTAAACAAGCAGTAAGGTGAATCGCTGTGTTCTGAGCCTGGGCAGCCCTAGCCCTATGCTGAGTGGCTGGGACCAGCAGGAGCCTGGAACTCAGTGGCATTTTCTATCTGTCCCTAGCATTGTGACAGCACCAAAGAGCCACCTGAGGGTAAAATACAATGTGAGCAGGCTTCACTGCCACTGTCTCTGCCCACACCTGCCAATGTTCATCCCCCATTCTAGGGGCACCTACAACTCCTCTCCTTCTCAAAAGGGAATCTATTCATGGAAAAAAAACAAGGGATCAGAGAAAACACACACACACACACACATACCCCTTCAGTGGTTGGTTTCTGTTTAATTTATTAAGTTAGGGAACACGCTACGAAGTCATCAGAAAGCTCCGGTCCCACTTCCACAGCCTTTGGGTGTAGTTAGCATTCCCGTGGAGTGGGCTGCAGAGACATCTGGTGGCAGATTTATGGCTCCTGCAAGGAGCCTTGCTCCATTCACTGCTAGCGCGGGGCTGCTAAGACTAACGGCTTTTCTCAGGCCGAGTCTATGAACGTAAATCCCGTTTCTTAACAGTCCTTCTTGTGTTGAAAGGTTTCTTCCTAAATAATCAAGGATCTACAGACTGGGGCCTTTAAGTGTTCAAAAATGAAACAAAGAAAAAAAGGAGGCGTGGCCAAGGGACCTTAGAAAAAAATAAGGTGTCCTACAGATTCTAGAACCATATAATATAGGCCAATTCTTCCCCTTTCAGGGCTAATAAAACCACAAGCTAAGGCCTCATCATGTGCCCACACCTGTCCCACCGTGCGGCCTGCAGAGGTGCCCCCTCCCACCAGAGCTTCAGATGGGCCAGGTGCCCAGCACCATCCACGGGCCACCTGTTCCGAGACTCCCCACTCCCACCTCCAGTTTGAACTAATCAAGTCAGCCTATCTCTGCAATCTCCACGGTGGTATCTTTTCAAACTTAACCTCCAAATGCGTTCAACTCAGATTTCTTTCTAACAGATTTCACTGGAACTCTTGTTTTGCTAGAAATCTCTGCATCTGGAGAGATGGAAACTCGCTGGAACAATCATTTTGAGGTGCCACATGCTAAACTTGACAAGCTCGGG